ACCACCGGACGGGCCATCAGAGCGGTGGTGGTGTTTGAGTTGAATAACAATACCATTGGTTTGTAAATATAAACGTTGTTTTTGTTAATTAAATAAATTATATCATTAAAAGTATTACAATTGAAAAAATATATGATAGAAATTAAGAGTTAATTAAAAATATGTTAACAAAAGTCAATGATTTAAATTTAATTAATGATATATTTAATTAAAAAATACAAAGTTTTAAACTTGTAATTAAATAATTATAACTAAAATTTGATTTAAAACACTCGAAATAAGTGTTTGTCTAAAATTAATGCACAATTTAATGTCTAAACTCGTAATTATTGATATTTTTAGTCAGTTTTTCGCGATTAATATATCGCTAATTGCCATCAAATAGACGTTTCATTTGATTCAATGTAATGAACGCGTGTTCAGAGGTTTGTAACAATTGTGGCGAAAGTGGGCCGTCGGCCGAGCCCTCGGTTTGGCCGTCGATTGAATACAAACTAGAGATCCGCTCTTCGATGGTGTTCTTCACGATAAAACGGTGAACAAAAGTCGGTCTAAAGTATCACAAAAAACAAACAATTAATTCAAACCCAAGTCTTAACCACTCAAACAATTGCATACTTTGTTTGTCCGATTCGGTGGACGCGTCCGACGGCCTGCAGTTCGTTGGCCTTATTGAGCGTCGGCTCGACGAGTATCACATGCGTGGCCTCTATTAGGTTCAGCCCTTTGGCGCCCAAATCAATGGCCATCAGCAGTGCCTTAATCTCCGGGTTTTGCTTAAATGTGTCCACTTTTTGGCTAAATTTAGATGAATTGGCGATAAAACAGTGATTGAATTGATTGTCGACCAACGCGTTGGATATGAGCTGAAGTACGTCCGTCCAGGTGCTGAACACCAGCGATTTGGCCGTCGGCTCGTCGGCCACTATCTGTAGCAAACATCTGACCACTTCCTCCACTTTCGTGGACCAACTGCCGGCCACTTCCAGCTGATCGGCCTCTTTGTCGCCGGCGGTCGAGTTCACGTACAGTACGGCAGACGCCGGACAGTATTCGCGACACATCGCGCACTGTATGCTCAGACCGGCGCCCGTCCGGCGCGAGTACTCGGCCAGCATTATGTCCAGACATTTGACGCACAGACTGTGCCCGCACTGCATGACAGACCACTGTTCGCCCATTTCGAAGTGACATATGGGACACATGTCGGGATTGTGTCCGCCTTTGCGTTTGGAATCATCTTTCGACAGATTATTCAAATAATACAAACGCGACAAACGATACTGAAGTGCATTCTTGGCCACCACTTCGTCCGAATGCAATGACAGCATCTGAGTCGGCACTT